AGATCTAAGCAGGGAAACAGTTTGAAAATGGACTTGTTTGAAATAGTTTTGTAAAAGACAACAGAGACAGTTTTGAAAAGAGAGTAGAGTAGTAAGCAACAGCCCAAACATAGCACCCCAAAACAGGTTCATACACAGCCAAAGAACATAGAACCAAGGCAGGTTCAGCAACCACAAACAGGGGTAATGGGATTTGGGGACACATAGAGCACATAGTATACAGGAGTATAGCAATTCTTGTGGGTGTCTATGGGATTAGGGGATAACTAGTGGTACCAACACAGTATGAATTCCAGAACCAATCATAGAATCAAACATTTAAAGTGACAAATCAGTTTGCAAAGTACATGCATATCAAAACTGGATAACAAGTAGATAAGCATTCAAACAGGGTAGGGTCACACTGAGACAGACTACCAAGGGAGTAGAACTTATTCTGAAATGCCCCAAGAGGGTTAGACTAGCATGCTAGATGAAGCAGTAATGTAAACATGTCAGTTACTTGTTGAAGAACAGAACCATAGATAGAAACAAATTAGAAACATAATGAACTGAAGCAGTAAAAGAAACATATTGGTTTTGGGACTCAAATTGAAATCAGAACATACCAGTAAAAAGATAGTAAACACAAAGTGAAAAATAGGAGAGCACAATAGTTAGCCTTGGCTTGCAGCATGCTAACTTCGAACAGTAGTAAGTAACACAGAAAGAGAGCAGAAAGTTTTGAATGTGTGAGAGAGAGTTTTTAACCAATGTGTTCGTGTATTGTGTTAATGAAAGAGCAGGGTAATTATAGTTTGAAAACAGGTAGAAAATAAGGCAATAATCATAGTTCAGCAATAATTATGGAACTATGTACTAATTAGAATCAAATCAGTATAAATACTTCCCTTTAATTAAGGAGTTAAATAACAAATAAGGAAAGAAATCAACGTACGACCAATATGGACAAACTTCAAATACAGTAGGTATAGAGTAAACAATTAGGGCTAGGTTCATAAGGTTCTAATTAAAGAAATAACATAAGAATCAATTAATAGCATAGTCAATCATGTAATAAGGCAAGAGAATGATTTAAAGCTCGGAAATCAGAAAGGGTATCAATCACAGAAAATCAGTAAAAGGTATCAATCAAAGGAGATTAGGGATTTAATTAGAAATAGTACTGATTAGAGGAAATTTTCACAAATTTCCGTCAATAAACGAAGTAAACATAATATAGGCAAGAGAAGCAAAATCAGAAACCCTAATGAGTACAATGAGGTAGAAAATCATAGAAGCTCAGAACATATGCATGAGAAACAGGTATACATACAAATCATATAAACAAAGACAGTTTCAGAACCCCGGATTAAAACCAAAATAATTAGGGGTTTCAACATGATGAATCAGATAAAAGGAAAAACTTAAATAAACTGCTTAAACATGGTAGAAATCATAGAATAATACTGAAAATCATAGAGAAAGTTATTTTGGAAAGGGGTTAAGAAACCCTAGTTTCGAAGATGATAAGGTGTTGTTGAAAAATCGGGAAGATTATCAGGAAAACAGTAAAGATAACTCAAAATATACTCAGATCTGTGATAGATCTGAAAAGTCAAGAGATGAGTTAGGGTTTCAGAGAGAGATAACCCAAAGATGGAGAGATTTTGGCTTAGAAGCCATAGATCTAGCCGGAAAATAGAAAAATCTTACTCAGACGAGCCAATGTGACCAGAGAATGGCAAGAATCAGACCATAGGTGTGAGCGAAGAACCACTAGTCCCTTGAGGACCTTCAAGATGGCAAGAATCCGGCGTGTGGNAGAATCAGGCCATAGGTGCGAGTGAACAGCCACTGGTCCCTTGAGGACCTTCGATATGACAAGAATCCGGCGTGTGGGGGAACCATTGAGGCTAGGGGTGGTGGTGGAACCACCATTGATGCCAGCGAGCCAATGGCCGGCGAGTAGGAGCCGTGGTTATGCAAAGAGTTGAGAGAGAATGAGAGAGTGTAATGGCAGAGTGAAAGAGAGAAAATGAGGGTTTGAGGTGGTAGTCTATTAGGTTAAATTAGGAAAGAGGGGATCTGGATCGTTGATTAGAATTGATCAACGGTCCAGATTGGATCAGGGATTGGGTCTGCTAAATTAGGAATTGTGCTTTGGGGTATTGAGTTGATTTAATTGGGATTTTTTGGAGCTGGTTTAATTAGGTTAAAATTGAAATGAAATTGGCTATTTGTTAAATACCCAATTAAATTAAATAAAATAATTTAAAAAAGTAGCTGATAATTGTACACAATAAATTTCACGCATAGAAAATAGTTAAAAATGATTACTTAGTATTTAAATACAAATGATTAATTTCTGGATAAAAATAGTACAAAATTATATCATTGGCCTATAATTGCAAAGGTATTGCAATTATAACCAAAAGGTGCCAATTTGGCTAATAATAAATAGGACTATAAATAATAAATTAAATCAAGAAATGCTTTTGAAATCACTTGTGATGCAATTCTTTAATAATTTATTGAAAATAAAATGCTGGACAAATTAATAAAAATATAGGAAAATTGTGGAAAAATACCAATTGCTATTAATGCATGATTTTGAAGGTATATATATACGCAATTTTAAAATATTTTGGGAAAAAGTTGGGTATCAACAATGAGTTAGAAATGACTTACTAATGATTTGGAGAAGAACTTTTCTTTGAAAAATCGCCCAAGAGAGCTTAGGGTTTGAGAGAGTTTGAAAAATGAAGAAAATTTCGTCTAAGTTAGAATTTACACAGGTGCAGTTACCTCATTTGTGATGTCAGGGCCTGCCCTGTTAACTTCGCAAATGCGAACATTTATTCGCAATTGCGATTACTGCTCTTGTCGCATTTGTGACTCTGTACTTCGCAAATGAGAAGGTCCCCATCCAGCCCAATCTTCGCAAATGCGATGGATGTTCGCAATTGCGAAGCCTGCAGACCTGCAACACACCAGCAGTTTTTCCAAAGTTCAAAACACTCTGCGGCCTTTCCAAAACTCACCCGAGCCCTCGGGGCTCCAAACCAAACATGCACACAAGTCTAATAATATCATACGAACTTGCTCGTGCGATCAAATCATTAAAATAACATCAACAACTACGAATTCAACCTCAAATTCATAAAATTACTCAAGAACATCAAAATTTCAATTTTCTCAACTATACGTCCGATTTATACCAAACCAATTTCGATCTTTACCAAATTCCACAGATACAACTTAATTATTATTATAAACCTGTACCAGGCTCCAAAACCAAAATACGGGCCCGATACCATCAAATTCAAACATCTTTAAATTTTCAAAACTCTTATAATTTCAGTTAAACAATTTATTTCAAAAAATTATTTCTCGGGCTTGGGAATACACCCAAGTCCCATATTTTTCTACGGATCCTCTGGGACCGTCGAATCACGGGTTCGGGTTCATTTACTCAAAATATTGACCAAAGTCAACTTAAATTTAATTTTAAAGGCAAAATTAGCATTTTCCTCAAATCTTCACATAAAAGCTTTCCGGATATACGCCCGGACTGTGCACACAAATCGAAGTGAGACAAAAAGAGGTTTACAAGGCCTCTAGACACAGAATTACTTTCAAAACGAGTGATGACCTTTTGGGTCATCACAATATTTCACTTTTTTTTTGAAAAAAATATGAAACATGACTTATACCCACAAGTTCTAAAAACTATCATAAATATCCAACAATACCTTCATCAATAACATTCATTATATTATCGCAAACCATAGTCCTAAACACAGAATTATTATTTTTATAATGAACCACATAATACACTATCAGATGACCGAGAAGACGAAACAACATAGTTATAAAATAATAAATGGTGGGCTATTTTATGAAATACAGAAGTTTGGGGCAATTTTTAAAAAATGTAGTATTAAAATTTTGGGCCAAAACCAGGGATTTGAGTTTTGGGTTTTGGAAATTTGCCAAAACGGATAAAATTTATGAACAAATATGTATTTGCCAAAAAAAAAAACTCAAATATATTTTGGCAAAATCTATATGGCCAAACGGGTCCTTAGTCCATCTACTGGGTCCTCCTTTTATATGACGGTGTTTAGATTTCAAAGGTCACACTAGAGGTAGATGTGACAAAAGGGTTAAGAGAATATACTTATCCATTCATATTATTCATTTAAAAATAGGTTGAATAATGAACTTTTTAAAAATGGGTTAAATATGGATAAGAACCATAATATCCACTTTGAAAATGGTTAACCAAATAGATAACCAATGGATAACTAATGTGTTTAACTTTTACATTTGTAAAGCCTCAAATTGGGGGTTCCTTAAGTTTGGAAGACTAAGAATTCTCCCATAAGTGATCATATTCAAGAAGCCATGAATAATATGGATATCCATATTATCCACTGGATAACCCATTTTTATCCGTCTCAAATACGGGTCGGGCCGGAAAATTTATCTGTTTTTTAAATTACCCGTTTTCGACCCGTCCCGCGCCGTTTGCCACCCCTAGATCACACCAATTTTTCTGTGACCGAGATTGTTTTATATTCTTTTTAAATATTTTAAACTATTAATTATCGCGACTTGTAATTTTTTTTACATAGTTTTCAAATATTTAAATTCTATTTTAAAAAACTTAAAAATATTATATCTAAAGTAGTGTTAAAAATTTTGACTTAGGAAATTAATCTGTGACATATAAATTGGAGTTTTTCATATTTTTTAAAAAAATTAAAATTTATTTTTAAAGTAAAAATTGAAAATTTTATTGTCAAATACTAATTTCGAAAAAAAATAAAAATTATTCAAAAAAAAGTAAAAAAATTCTTATGTCCAAGCGGACTCAAAGTTTGCAGAATCTGAGTTTCGACTGTTAATTTTTTTTTTTTTTAAATTTTATTTTTAAACTCAAACTTTTACAAACTTTAACACAAATACCAATTTAGAAACAAAATTGTCGAATGAAGAATTAGAACAACTTTTATGGGTCAATTCAACTGCAAGATAAAACCCAACAGCCCCTCAATTCTTTTCAAACTCCAATGAAGACTACTCCTCTGCTTACAAGTCTTCTCCTAATCAGCTGCTGCTTCTTTCATGTCTCCTCTACTGATTTACCCCTCGGAATCCATCCTCTTGGTTTTCCTCCTCATACTGCTTAAATTCTTTTAAAATTTTTTGAATTAGCTTTAATAAATTCTTGAATTTTAATTACTCCGTTGTTATTTTGCAGATGAGAAGTACTATGGTTCGGAGGTGATAAAATGCAAAGATGGGTCTAATTCCTTCACCAAAGATCGTCTCAACGACGATTTCTGTGATTGCCTCGACGGATCTGATGAGCCCGGTAAGCATTTTTTTTATATATATTTTAATTAAACTATGTGACTTGCCTATAAGGTTAAACTTTAGAGAGATACAACAACAAAAAACCCTTACAAGTGGGGTGTAGGGAGGGTAGTGTGTATGCAGATCTTACCCTACTTTAAGAAGGTATAAATGTTGTTTTCGGTGAACCCTCGGAAACAACACTTTTAGAGAGATAGCACATTCATTTATTTATTTTAGGTTTGGTATATGCTGGAATGAGCTTGTTTTTTTTCCCATGTATACTTACTGATGTGTTACATTCAGACTCAAGCCCTGCAGCTCTGACCATATTGAATTGTGTGAGCCATCTTATCTAAATGTTTAATATGTTGAGGGAGAACACTTTATTTTAGGTTTGTAACATCCACTTGTTCATTACTTGTGTGTGATATAGTACAAGTATGCAAAAAGTTATAGGCAGGAATAGATTCCCGTGTGGATTTGTTTGCATTACCTCCTACGCCGAAGGGTCAAGCTTCATTACTGAAGACTCCATATATCGGAAGGCCTCCAAGCATGCACAAATCACACAGTGGGATGGAGAGCTCGCCGATGTCAATATAAACTGTGTTGGTTGACGGATGCCATAATTCTGAAAAAGGCCCACAAGACGTTTTCATTGAGGTCATATGTGAAGAAAGAAGCAAAAATGGTATCATAACATCTTGATGCGTTCCAAAACTTCCTTATTGTGGCCAATGATATCTTCTGCTCATTTCCAATAACAAGTCGTGTCCCGAACCTCATGGAAGCTAGAATGAGTATAGTTCAAGTGGCAAAACCTTAATCAGAATATTTAATGCTAGCAGATATAACATTCCTCTCATGAGTTGATGATTTCAACAAGAGAAACTGTGTTGATGACCTTGCTCAAGGAAGTTTCAAAAATTTCATTTACCACCTTCAACCATTCAGAAAGGTGAAGGAAAGAGTCATTGGTTTTCTTCACTAGCCGGGAGGCACCGATCATCGGGATGAACCTTCAGTGCGAAAAATTTGCGAGGATTGTGCTTGTCACCAGTGATCTCGAGATATGGATGTAGAACCCCGTGTTCGCTTGATATTACAGTCGTGTGTTAGCTCTCAAAGCTGCAAACAAAGAGGAAGAAAGGAAGAATTAAAATAAAGAATATGCTGCTTAAAAGACAATGCACCAGATTTTATAACCTAATATTAAAAAATTACATGTGTAAATCCAAATAAATTTGGGCTTGATTTGTATAAGTTGTATTTCCTAAAGTTTGCTTTCTAATGGCGCAAGTAGATTGTAATTTGGACGTGTCTTGAAGGAAGTATGCTTTTTTCTCGTCAAGATGCTAAAAGCTGTGAAAGTAATGTCCAAACCTAGAACTGCCTTTGGAAAAGTACATGTGGAAATTCAAAGAGAATTAAGACATGATTCTTATTTATTTCGTAGTTCTCGAAGACTGCTTTCCACGACACAAGTGGCTTGTAATTCGGGCTTGCCTACCATGGAATACGAATTTTTCGTGAAGACGCTCAAGGTTGCAAGAGTCAGAGTGTCCCAAGTCCAGATTAACTTTGAAAAAGTGCTTCCGTAAATCTAGAGAGAATCAGGACTTAGTTTATATATCTCATAGTTCCTTTTTGTATATCTTGTAGTTCCTGAAGTCTGCTTTCCAGCATCGCAGAAAGTTTATAATTCCAATATATTTATAGAAAAATATGATTTTTCAAATGAAGATGCTCAAAATAAAAGGTATCAATGAATTTGAATTCAAAATTTAGTTTCGAAATTTACCCTGAGAAAGTACATGAGGATTCTGATAGTGGCTTTTATATATATGATGCAACACTAAAAGTATAGTTTTTATAGTGCAAATGGCTTGAGTTTAGTTTTGATGATACCTTCAGTTTGCGTGTCTTTACGAGAAAAATCATACTTTTCTTTAGACATATTTGAATTGCAAGTTGTTTGTGCTGTTGGAAAGTAGACATTAGGAACTAGATACATATAAAATTTTGATTCATTCTGGATTTACATAAGTACTTTTTTAGGTCACTTCTAGATTTAGATGTTTCGACCCTCATAGTATTGAGCGTCTTGACGAGAAAACTCATATCTCATTTGGTGGCGCGTCCAAATTACAAGCCTCTTGTGCCGTTAGACAGCAAACTTCAACATCCTTCTAGAAAAAAGAAAGCAGACCACGAGAACTACGAAATATATAAGAATTGGGTCATGATTCTCTCTGCATTTACATAGGTAGTTTCTCAAGTAAGTCCTGTAATTTGATGTTCTAACTCATAATTTTGAGCCTCCTGATGGGAAAATTCATATTATGGTGTAGGCAAGTTTGAATTACAAGCCGCTTGTTCCATTACTAAGCAGACTTCAGCAACTACAACATATGTAAATCAAACCCAACTTCTCTTTGGACTTACATAGGTAATTTTCCGAATCCCAATGCTATAATTTGGAGCACTGCCTTTTAGGTAGCATGTTCTTTATTTTTTATTCTTCTTTCTTTCTATTTGTTTGCAACTTTATAGTTATGGCACAAATTTGAAATCAAGCGTACACGATGCACTTTAAGGATCACGAGATTTCCTCTCCCTAGTGAGGAAAACTTTTGACCTCTTTGTTTCACCTTTTTGAATGATTGATGAAGGACACAAACAATGTTCCTGAAACTTTCTCAAGCAAGGCTACACAAAGATTCTCGTGTTCAATTCATCAACTCATGACATGAAAGTTGTATCTGCTAGCACCAAACATTTCAATGAAGGTTTTGTCATTTGGAGCTATCCTCATTTCGGCGAGGTTCGATATACAACTTGTTATTGTGAATGGAGAGAAGACGTCCTTAGTTGTGTCAAGGAGGTTTTGGAACATATCAAGGTGAATGATGACATTTTTGCTTCTTTCTTCACATATGACCTCATTGAGAACGTTGCGGGTTTTTTCTGAGCTTTGGCATCATTAACACCGCTTGTATGGGCATCGACGAGCTCTTCAACTTACTGTGAAATTTGCGCATACTTTTGAAGTCTTTCCTTTACATGGAGTTTTCTACACGAAGTTGTCCTTCGATGGAGGTGTTGATGCAAACAAATCAACATGGAAAGCTGTTTCTGTTCATGGAGTCTTGCAATAAGTGCATAACATGTTTGAGTAACATTCTCTTTTGAATAAATTGTATGAAGTTGATGTCTTATTTCTTAAAATGTATGTTTCAACTTTTTATACACCATGACTACTACAGGTTTTGGTTTTTGTTTAACACATTTTACAAATTCAAAGTGTTTCTTCTTCTTAAGATAATGTATGTTTCAACTTTTTTTACACCGTGCTAAATTTAACTACTGCAGTTTTTGGTTTTTGTTCAACACATTTTACAAATTCAAAGTGTCTCTTCTGTTTTTAATCTTAAAGCTAGAAAATTTTGAACTGATGTGCTGGGGAAACTGTTGTATTATTTTGAGTATGTTGCATCATCATATATCATGATAAATCTCACGTGCAATAGAGAAATATATCTAACCAAAAAGGAATTTATTGGTAACTAATATACTTAAAAGGAAAAACTTAGTGATGCTATGAACTGGCAGCTGTGCTACGAGTAGCTGCCTAATATTTTCTTTCAGTCTCCCTGTACCAGAGGAAGGAAGTATCATATTGATAAATGTGGACGTAGTATCACTTGGTGCAAATAATTTTCTGACATCCAATGGATAAATGATAATGAAGAAGATCTGTGTATTCCTAAATCATAGGCACCTCTGATCACAGTTGGTACTAAAACAAATGTCATTTTTCTGCCGTTTCTTCCATTTAATTTTAATATTATTTTGCTTGTAAGAGGTAAACCGGTGGCATAACATCAACAATTGATGTCATCTACCAAAAATGCCAACAAGGCTAGTCTTAAAATGAAAAAGGGATATGTTGAATATGCCATTTTCCTTATATAGATTAGCCTAAAATTGTTTTGCTACGTAGTCGATGAATCTACGAATATATCTTGGCAGATATAAGACATGATTAGTTTTGCTTGGCATCTAGGAAGAAAGCTCCAGTAGTGACTCCAAAATGTTGGATTAGACTAGCTCCATTAGATATGATGGGTGAAAGTGCTTTTGAACAGTTGGATAGGGGTGTTCATAAAAACCCGAAAAACCGAACCAAACCGAAAACCAAATCAAACCGATACTTTTTGGTTTGGTTTGGTTTTGAATTTAAAAAACCGATCAAATTTGGTTTGGTTTTGGTTTTAATCAGGNTCAAATTTATTATTACATATATATATATATATATATATATATTATACAAAGTTTCAAAAATTTAATGGTAAATATTAATAGTTTGCACTTTTAATATAGTTCTTTACCTTTACATTCTAGTTTGATTGGTAGTTTTCTTTTGTTAAGTGTAAGAATCCATTGCGTGTTAAAAATAATATATTTTTAATTGATTCCTTAAATTATTCATCACTATTTGATTCAATTATCATCAATATATCTTGGTAAATAATAGATTTCTCAAAAGGCAATTCATGATTTGATAGTGTTACGTTGAAAATGTGGTCGCCGGAATATGTGTTTGGTAGTGTATGTCTTATATTTAAGAAAAAACCGAAAAACCGACAAAACCCGACATAAACCGAATCGAGAAAAAACTGACTTAATTGGTTTGGTTCTAATATTTGAAAACCGACTTACTTGGTTTGGTTTCTTTTTAGGGAAAAATTGATCCAAACCGAACCATGAACACCCTTACAGTTGGATGCACTACATATAAACTTGTGTGTTTCTCATGATTCACTCTTTTCTCTTTTATTTGTATATTTTCTGTTGGATTTTCCCATCTCCTTTGATGGTTTTGTGGTTTTTAACCAACAAAATATTGACATATTTTGTTTGAGTTCTCCTGTCAACTAAAACGCTCTCTCCTTTGATAGGAACGGCTGCCTGTCCAGCTGGAAAATTTTATTGCAGAAATGTGGGCAGTACACCTAAATTCCTGTTCTCTTCTCGCGTGAATGATAATATTTGTGGTAAGCGCTCCTTGTTAAGCTAGTATGGGTTTTTTACAAAACGATTTTATATACTTAATGTTTGCTTCTATTTATTTGTTGTTACAAAGTTTAGCCTCTTATCTGAGGCTTGTTTGTTTCTATGATACACGGATTCATTTATGTGTACGTATTGAATGGGGCTGTATGCAAGCTTTTTGGCTGCAGCATTTATTGATTTGTTAATCTCTATCTACCCTGTGGTTGGGTTCATGCTTGCTGATTCAAGATACTTTCAGATTGTTGTGACGGAAGTGATGAGTATGATAGTACTGTCAATTGCCCCAATACTTGCGTAATGGGTGGGGATTTTTCTTATCAAACAAGAAGTTATGGTTCAAGAAGAAAACATCTCGATCTAATTGGTGGAAAAAATGCTAATGGGGTCAATATGGATGACTCGGCTCAGCGACTGCAAGGTAATTCTATTTTTCCCCTTTTTCTGTAACCTTTGGCATGAACTTTGAACCATCTCATGTAGCAACTATTTGATGTTTGTTCATTGCAGGTCTGAAGATACTGGTACTTGTACAGGTGGTCGTTATCATTATTTTTCTGGTTTTCCGGAAATTATATCGGCAATCAAGGTCTAAAAGAAGACATTTGCGTTGAGAATTGATCCCAAGATTACTATTATTATCACAGTATGTTCTCAGGAAGTTTCTCTCTGGTTCTCTCTATCTTTCGTTGTCTCCCAACCATGATTATTTGACCTAACTTCGGAGTGCAGTTGTGTTCCGTAGGCATAATTGTATGTCTAAGAGATGGCTGCAAACTGAAGGTCCAACTTGCTGATTGTTGACGTTCTTCTTTAATGATTCTTACATACATCTATCCGGAGACGGGATTGTGACAACAAACTATTAAAGCCCTGCACCAGTTCTTGAAGTATCATTTTATTAGGCGCTCCTATGAACTTTTGACTTTCTTGGTTGTTCAAATTGACAAGTAAGTTGCATACTGTAGTGGATCTCTACAAAGTCTTTGCATTGTCCGATCAACCAGCGGCGAGTTAATGTATGTTATGGTTTCAGTTAATTGATGCTTTAAACATTAAGAAGCTTTTAAGTTGCTATCAACCATCACCGGTTGTTATATATATATGCTTCCATGTTTTCCCCGAATTTCATCAGTTCCAGGCTCAAGTGCCTGATCATCCATCTTCATTCCAAACAAAGGCGAACATCTCCATTGAGTGACTGTAACTGCTATGGTTTACAGTCAATAGTTCTTAACCAATCTTGTAGTTCTATATATGTTGCTATGACTAGTTTAAATAATATGTTCTTAGATTGTTATTGCCTTGTTAAGTAGTTTTACTTTTCTTGTGTTGTTCTTATAATTTCTTTTCAGGAACTTTTCATGTTTTTGACTAATTATTTTGACGATTCCGTTGTTTAAGGGTCTCCCATTATCCCGAAGGGGAGATATCTCTTTTCGATCGCTTCAGTGAACTCTACCCGACCCTGCTATTCAGATTCGAAGAGTCCTCCTGAATATATTTCCATGGAGGTTACTGTTATTGTTATTCTGCATCTTTTCATTTTATTTTCCAATTTTTCTATGACTATTATCTCTCTTCGTGTACTTCTTTTTCCTTTCTGATGTATTTAATTTCAGTTATTCAAAATTGTCCCGGGACAAAGATACAAAAGTACACTAAAAGCCAGGCAGGTCGTTGCGATGCAAAAAAGATTATCAAAGACCTGCTGATAGAGAAAATTATTAAGAAGGCATGTATTCGTCAGATTTGTTTTACATAAAGCCAGTTCAGGTCGCAATTGATTTCACGGGCTTTTAACATTTGTATTTAAAAGCGACATCTAATTAAAAGGCACGTGAAATCAACTGCGACCTGGACTGGTTTATGTAAGACAGATCTGACGTATACATACCTTCTTCGCATCCCTACGACCTCTCTGGCATTTAGTGTACTTTTGTGTCTTTGTCCCGGGGCAGTTTTGAATAACTGAAATTAAATACATCAGAAAGGAAAAAAAGTACACGGAGAGAGATAATAGCCATAGAAAAGTTGGAAAATAAAATGAAAAGATGCAGAATGATAGTAAGAGTAAGTAACCTCCACGGGAATATATTCCGGAGGACTCTTTCGAATCTGAATAGCAGGCAAATTTGGGTATTTGATTTGAGTCGGCTAGAGTTCACTGTAGCGATCGAAAAGAGATATCTTCCTTCGGGATAATAGGAGACCCTTAGACAATAGAATCGTCAAAATAATTAGTCGAAAAACATGAAAAGTTTCTGAAAAAAAATTGTAAGAACACAAGAATAGTAAAACTACTTAACAAGACAATAACAATCTAAAAACATATTCTTTTAAACCAGTCATAGCAACATGAACTACAAGAATACATCATATATATATATATATATATATATATTGGTTGATGGCAACTTAAAAGCTTCTTAATGGTTAAAGTATCAATTAATTTGAAACCATAACATATATTAACTCTGCCGCTGGTTGATCCGACGATGCAAAGACTTTGTAGATTAAAACTATGTTTGTGGTCAATCGAGCCTTGATATGTGGCTCAGATGCTCGTGCATACATAAAGCTCTAGTTGGTACTTGTTCTCTTTCATGTGTTCTTAAATCTTGATGGCTTGGTTGCTCGTCTGACTTCATCATTCCTTAACATCCTGTTTATATGTTAATTCGGAGAGGAGCTCAACACTCTTTGGTTGCACAAATGAAGGGAGATAGTATCACAGGAATGTGCTAGGCAGGCATTTATGTACTGGAGATGGGGGTTTAATTTGCAAACAGTATGTTTGATAGTATCACTCTACTTTAAATATAGGACTCCGTTATTTTACATTTCTGTAATTGTTAACATTATTGAGTTAGAGAAGAAATGAATCCCTGTTACCTCTTTACTTCTAAACGATTTAGTCAAATTTTCTGTCGACAGGTCGTAGGTTTGAATCCTACTTGGAGAGCCTACTGATTGTCGATTTTTGAATTCAGAATAAAGGTGCTCACTTTGTCCGTTAAGAGTAGGTAATCTATTCCCTGTTTTTGGTACACTACTTAGTATTAAGTCAACTCAGCTAATGTGTAGCAACTAGTATAAGCTGGTACAATATTCTTACATACGGTATGTGTAAGCAGGAAGACCAGACCCAGTCTTCCAATTATACAGGTAAATCACCTTCTTTACCGCCCAGAATGAAACAAAGATAGCTAAAAGCATCACCAACCTCTGGATATTCCTACTCTTCACATGGACAGGAACATGAGTGATAAAGGCCAACAACAACCTGAAAATCGTGTACAAGAACCCAACTGTAACCCCCTCGGCCCCTAACTGCATCCCATTTCCGTCATAAAAGAAAACCAACTTTTTAGGATCATCTCTATCCACCATAGCAATAGGTATTTTATTGATTACGTTGTACATTGTCCCTGAAGCACTGAAGAAGTACACGAAAACTGACCCCGCCATCCATATATGCTTTTTATGCAAAAGGGTGTTTCCAGCAACAATCTTTCTCACTAGAAATGGAGTCAAGATTAGCCCCAAAGTGATGATAATTATCTTCAGTTTTTTGGAAATGAAACCTGGCTGATGTATGGGACCAACAGTGAGCTTAGTTTTAGCCTCGATAAATTCTGCCATCGATTCAGCATGCCCAGAGAAATCCGAGGACTTCATTCGAATAGAATCCCTTTTGAAATCTGTAGCTAAAAAGGGGACTAAACATATATAGGGAAGAGACCTGACTCGAAATAGAGCAAAAGAAGCTTGTGATTCTTGAAACTCAATGTCAAAGAAAAACAACTTGATGTTATGTGGATTGTTTGTGTGGAATGAGGAGGAGAGAAGCAAGAACTCATTTTTAATAGTTGGAAGTGAAATCTCTGGCTCTGAATGTAGCTTCTGTGAATCGAAGAATACCTAGGGATAGGTATCGATAAAATTCGTCTAAGTAGTTTGTTAGAAAGGTGAATAACACCAGTGGAAGATTTAGAACGAAGGATGATCAATTCAGAAACTAAATCTTCTGAAGTTAGGGAATGATTTTCGGGTACGAGGAGTAAAAGGAAAGTGAAGAACAAAATGTATGAGATAGCCATTGTAACTGTGTTAATTCTGAATGTTCTGTTTCATACCATCACCAGAACTTTTGTACTGCTGATTGCTAAAGATTTTGCCCATACTTAGACTCCACATGGTGTGTTCCTAACAAAAGTTGTCTATTTTAGTATTAAGAATTCAATATTTAGCATTTAATCCTGGATTTACTACTACCTATTAATTATATTAAAAAATGGTCCTATTTATCTGGACTTTTTGCAGCTGAAATCTCCATCTACACCTAAATTATGATGTTAATGACAGTCTTTGCACTATTGAAGTTTACGTGAGGCTGAAGAATCTTTTAAATGCAGATTATGTCTCCTTGAAAAGCTAATAAATAGATTGTTTTTGTTTAAATTCCTAGCCGATGTCCGGTAGCCTATTTGAGTTCTGACTAATCTAGATTTGCACTTCTAAGTACCACTTTGGGGGTAAAGCGCTTCTTACCAACGACGGTTCTGTATTCGAGGCCCGAATCCCAAACCACTGATTAAGGATGAATGATTATTTACTACACCGTGATAGTCTTTGGTTGTTAGTTATAATAAATAGATAGAAAAGCTAGGTTACCCTCTTAAAAGTAAATGCTTCTTTGGTAGAAGAGAAAACAAATCTTAGTAGATAGATTTTATGGTTTAAATTCCTACCCAATGTCTGATAGCCTATTTGGGTTCTGGCTAATTTAGATTCGCACTTCGAAGAATCATTTTGGGGTAAAGCGCTTCCTATCAAAGACTAATTCGTATTCAGAGCTCGTATCTGAACCTCTAATTAAGGATGAAAGAGTATTTAAATAATCTTTGGTGGTTAGTTAATAATTAGATAGAAAAGCTAGGTTACTCTCTTAAAAGTAAATGCTTCTTTGTATTTCCTTTGGTCCATTTCATTCCTTTCGATTCAAGGCAAAGTAGACAGAAAGATGAACTATAATCCTTTTAATATTAGACCAGCCACCATAAAATTATTAAAGGATATTGAAAGGAGTTTGATAAATTTTTTGATAAATTTTTGGGAAACTATATTATGTAAACAAATATTGGGAGTGAAGCTATGATAGATGGATCAACTCGTGACACTATACTTGAAACCAAGCTGAACGTAGCTCGGCGTTGAGCTTGACGATGTCGTCTAATCACATATCTAATGTACATATCGAGAATAGTAATGAGGAGAACAGCTATGAATAGTGAAATTATGGCATTGAGCAAAATTTTGCTGTTGATATCATATTTGTTTTTGCGATTATCATCTTCATCGAAGCCCTTATTGTGGCTATCGAGTTTTGAGCAGATTAGATTCATTCGACGATCTTTTTGAAGAAGAAGGGGTTGGTTTTTTATGTTCAAGACTTAGGTTTTTTAATACAAGTACAGGTTTTTTTCTTATGTGTAACACCCCGTAAAAATTCGGCTTAGGTATGAATGAGTTAAAGGAGTAGTAAGGATATATTTTGAACATGTGAAGTCCCATCGGGATGATTATGGGTGAAAATAGTTGTTTCAAAATCAAGATGGAAAGTGAGGTGCATAAGATTTGACAAAATCGACTAGGTTTGCAGAAGGTTCGTATTCCATCAGGTTTTAGTGAACATGTGTAAGGAATTTGGGAAAACTCAAAGTATGAAAGTTGTAGGCCTTTGAAATAGCTTTCCAACGATATATTATGGAGCCCAAACGGAGCTCTGTACAAAATGTTATGCCCATTTTACAGAATGATATGCAACCACCGCGGTCCTGCCGCGTTTTACCGCGACCGCGGTGGCGAGGCAGTGTTCAAGCGATTTACCGCGGTCGGGACCGTGGCCTCGCCAACCGGGACGCGGTGGACGACTTGGGAAGTTATTTTTTTAGCCCTATTTTGTCCCCCACAGCCCCAAAACATAAAAACTTGCTCTACAAAGGAAAACTCTCAAAAACCTAACTCCTCAAGGGTCCCTCCACCATTCAAGGTAAGTTCTAATGGTGATTCTAAGTTAATTTTAATTTCTCAACATCTTATTAACATGGGTAAACCCTCCATATCATTAGATATTCGATTTGGGACACCATTGTTGAGAGAAGAAACCCTAGAACTCGAATTCAAGAAGATTGAAAGTCAAAAAAGTAATATCTTCACCCTCTAGTTGATTCTATCATTGAATTAATGATTATAGACTCTATTTCATGAGATATGAGTTGATGTGTTTGATAGAAAAACATGAACGGTGATAGATTTGGGTTGTTGATAGGTTATTATTGGTTATGGGTGTTGATTACCTTATAGGTGATAAAGAATAATGTTGTTTATAACCATTTGAGACTTTAGAATTTATCTAAGAGCAAGAGAATGGGTTATTGGGTGTAGAAACACCATTAATAAGGGCAATGAAGCTTTATGCCACCGAGTGTTTGATAAAATGCCTAAGTGACCTAAACATGACTATTGTTGCTAATTTGGAATCCCTTTGACTTGTATTGATATAGATTAAAGTTGAAAGGGTTGGCGAATGTTGTATTATGCTCAAGAGCAGGAAGTTAAGGTATGTGAGGCTAACTCTCTATGTTTGGGAATATTAATGATTCTCCCTACACTACGTTTCTTTTACGATGCATCAATTGCCTCAGAAATATAATTAAGCCTACTTCCTTGAATAGTTGTAGAACTTCTATTCTCTTGCTTCATAATTCGTTCATGACTTTCATTCTGAACGTTGTGAGCTCAGTGCGTATTCAATATAGACTTGGCTTTGATGCCCCCGAGTCTTAGTATAGATTACTCAGTATGCCATAAACAGTTGAAGTTTCAGTATTCATAATCAGTTCAAGAATACATGTCTTAGTCTAGTCCTATTTAGTATTCCAGTATTATGTAACTTAGTGTGATCCAGTATTCCAGTATTATGTAACTCAATGTGATTCAGTATTTCACTATCATATATTGCAGTATGATTCTCAATTCCTGATTTTATATCCCTGAATGTTGAATACTTGTATTTGGGCATGAGGCCGCAGTTTATGTTTTATGAATCTTTGGGGCTGAGGCCGCAGTTTATGCTTTATGCATTTTGGACCTGAGGTCACAGTTATGTATACGTATACTTAGGCCCGAGGCTGCAGCTTGTGCACATATATATATTGGGCCTGAAACCGCAGTTTAATATTCAGATAAACAGGTTGTTCATCATTCAGAAGAGGGAGTATTCATATCCTTACTTCCTTTCAGTTCAATTATTAGTTACTGTTCAGTTATCAGCTATCATATCAGTTATCAGTTATCAGTTCAGTTACCAGTTATCAGTTCAGTTATCAATTATCAGTTATCATTTCAGTTTCAATTTGAATAGTTATCATTTCAGTTATCAATTATAAATTCTCAGTTATCAACTTAGTTTCAGTTTCAACATTTATAATTCTTTCTTTCAGTTGCTTTACATAATAGTACAATTCAAATGTACTTACGTCTCTTTTGCCCGGGGCCTGCATCTCACAATGAAGGTAATGATTTACAGGTTGATGATTCCGAGCGCTAGGATTCTCGTACCAGCTATTTGGTGATCCCCAGTTCTTTCGGGGCATTATCATTACTATAGCCTTCAGTATTTTCAGACAGTCAGTGTTTACAGTACTTTATTAAAGGCTTCATAGACTAGAGTAACAGTTAGACAGAGTCTCAGACTTTTCATACTAATTATGTTGGCTACAAATATGTTTCAGAATTGTATTAATATTTCCGCACTTTAATTTATATCATCCATACTTTCAGTATATCAACATGTGTTAGTTTATCTTCTGCATTCAGTATGTTACGATACCACAT